GCTTAAAAAATTGGTAGTTATTTATACAATACTATGTGTTGAGGAAAAACAAGCGTAGAAAATGTTAGTGAAGAAAAATTCTATGAAAAGAGGAAGGATTGATGAGAGACAAATTAAAAAAAGAAAAAAATGCTAAATTTTATAGTAATGGAATCCGAATTTTGATGATGTAAAGTACCCCTTAGATTATTTAATGCCTTTAAAAGATAAAAAAAATAGCTATAATAATAATAATAATAACTACAGTTGCAGTTATGCAAGAATTTTTATCTGAAATATTATTTCTTTCCTAAACTTATGTATGAATAAAATCTATGTAAATACGTAGATTGTATTTAAAAAACGTACATCGAGAAAATGCGTACGTATAAGTAACTAAAATGCTCTTATCAAGAAAATTCAAGATGTTTTAAATAAATGTTAAACACTAAATAACAAAAGTCTCTAGAAGAAAGGGAAAATATAGCAATGCTAACTTTTTTTTTATCGAAACAGGTTTATGATATTAAAAAACTTAGTGTCAGAAAAATTTATAAAAAATAATTACCACGAAATTCTGAAAAGTAAAATAAAGAAAAAGCGCCACTAAAGTTAAAAAAAAAAAAGTGCCTAAAATTAAAAAAAAGAAGAAAAATCCAAAAAGTGCAAAGATTATCAAATCATCACTTAATAATAAAATATCCATCACTATACAACTAGCACACTTTACACTAACAAACTATAAAAATTAAGGGGAAAAAAACATTAAAAAAAGGAACTTGCATTAAACGAATACACACTTTTATTGAATGAGGTTTGTTTATTGTAAAATGTTCAATGTGCTCACTTTTCTTTCTAAAAAAAAAAGAGGTAAAACTTATTTAAAACATTTTAAAACAATACAATTTTTGGAAACTATACATTAGTTATTTGAAGTTTTACTACATAATCAGTTGTGAACATTAGTAGCATTTAATAGCCCATTTGATTGAAATAATATCGTAAAAAATCAAAAATATTCGTAAAAATTTTGCTGTTTAACAGGCTGTAATAAGAGCATTCTGAATTCGAATTAAAATATTCACAGTTAGAGTATAAAATGATTTTTTACGCACAAAATCTTATGCATTTTTTGAACATTACTTATTTTCAAAAGCAGTCAGTTGAATCAAATACCGTTGTAAAAAACACTTACCATAAAATATCTTATAAGAACAAGAGAAGTTAAAATTATTGATAGAATGAATAAAGTATAGAGAAGAATGGAAAGTTTCTATAAAACTATAGAATGACGAAAACACTGTCGTTATAAGAATGAATTTAAGAAATATTAAATGAAATTTCAAAATGAAGAAATGTGCTTTTTGAAAGGAAAAAAAAGAGAATCAGACTACGGCCTTACAAATATTACCAAAAAACTCAAAACAAATGGCAAGATGATAATTAGCGTTTTTTCCGTAAGTGTTCATCTACTGAAAAATATGAAACAATAGGCGGGTGGAAGAAGATAATGAAGAAATAAAAAGATATTGGAATAAGTATCAAATAAAAAAAAAATAACAAATGAATATCCTTCTTTTATGTTATGAACTAATTCGTTTCAAGAAAAATATTATAACGATTTTATCATAATTATTGCAATATAAGTAAAGAATCCAACTTATAAGGCATAAGAAGGAAAAAAATAACAATACGGTAAGGCATTTTTATTCATTTGCTTTATTTAAAAAATGCATTATAAGAAAAAAATATTTGAATTTCTAATATTTCCAAATAGGTAATATAAAATGTTTCCTTATACTATTATGAAATGGATTTAAGATTCAGTTTCATTGTAATTTGAAGAAGCAATTATGTATTGATATGAAAATCGAATATAATGTAGTATAATTAAAATAAAAATTATAACATAATAAGAATTGAACTATAAAAAAAAATTAGAATAGTTATAGTTGTTGCTCCATTATTCATTCGAATAAGTTGTTTTCTAAAATAGATTTAATGTTTTCAATTAAAGAAAATAATATTATGTATATACATATATATATCTATATATTATTTCTTTTTGCTATTATAGTGCACTGTAAAAAAAAACCCGGATCAATTTACGGTATAAAGTACCGGCACTTAGCTGTATCATCCGCAAAATCCGTTTTACCGCAAAATCAGATTTTTTTTTTCTGTAACATTTTCCGGTAAAAATGGTTTTTACGGTTATTTGATCAACTTTTATCTGAAACTAAGCATTTCTACAGATGGTTGAGTTACATAAATCTGAAGAAGCTAGGAACGCTACCCTCGGAACTCGGGTTTTTATCCCGGGAATCCGTTCGAAGACGTGGGCTCAATCTATACTGAAGTGGGTAGTAAATATCATAAATTGATAACCACCAGCAGCTTTGTATTGAAAAACTTTTTTTTTTTGGGGGGGGGGGAGTTTCGATTTTAATTTTTCGATTTCTTTTGTTTACTTTTATTAAACAGGGTATTCGGTATGCAAATATGAAAGAAAAGAAAAAAAAAGAATGAAACGGACTTTTCAAATTTAACAAACCATTTTACATACGCTTTACGAACTGCAAAAAAGGAAGAAAAAAATCTTTTAAAATTTAAAAAAAGTTTTTTTGTACAAATATATTGCATACGAAAATGCAGAAAAATAGCTTTTTTTTTTTAATATTTTCTGAATATTTAGTTCCCGAAGAGACTAAAATATTTTCTCCAAATTATTTTCTTCGAAATTCCATGTTTTAAATATTTTTAGATTCATATTTTAAATAGATATCCTACTTTCTACGTCAGTATATCAATAAAGATTAATAGGTGCTAAATTCAGTAGGAAAAAAATAAAATGGTAAATAAAAAAGAAAGAAGTATTTTTTAAAAATTATTATTCGTATTTTTATCTCAGCATAATTTTTTTTAAAATTTAATATTAAACTGGTGAATCTCTGGTGGTAAATGGCCTAAAACATAAGAAGAAAGGGAAAATATATTTTTCGGATGTAATAAAATTTCGAATTTCCTATTTTTTCAATTCGAAACTGAGCAATCATTAGTTACTGAGTGGTTTGCCTATCGCAGGTTAATTGAAAAATTTAGCTCTTTACAATTTCGTCGTCTTTTTTCAATGCGCCCAGATAATTAAAAAAGTTTTCAGTATTTTCTGATCGGTGCGAAATTATTTTTAGGTTTATTACAATTAGCTTGTATGCCTTTAGACTAATGAGGAAATTTTCGAAGCAAACTCAGTCAGACTCAAATCACGCATGTTAATCGCAATAAATCTCCATGGGGCTATTACAATTAGCCTGCACTACTCTGAACTTATTGAAAATTATATGAAATAAATTAGGTTCATTATCAATGAATGATATATTTTCTACTTTGCTTAAAGGCAAGTGTACTTTTTGCAATTCGCCTAAGTTTGGACTGATTAGAAAATCCTGGAGATTTTTTTTCCAAGTAGCATGGTATGATAGAGATCCTTGCTAAGAGCCAGATTATACAATTAGCAGGCGACATAACAATTGGAAATATCGGAATAAATTGAAATTCTTTAAACTGCTTTTAGTTATACTCTAATGAATTAAAATGGTTTAAATAGCATGAGAGTGAGCTCATTAATAATCAGTAAGAAGAATAAAGTAACTGAACATTAAATTGATTTTAATAAAAAATGTACTGTAAAGTTGAATCCCTGTTCCCGAAATGCTAAAAACTTAGTTTTAAAGAATCGTGTTCTAAAAATTGACTGTACAGTGAGCAAAAAAATGGACCACCCTGAATAACTTTTGATCTAATTATCGGATCTTCACGTTCCCAATAAATTTTTTTAAAAAGGGTAAGAAATATTTATATCAAAATTCCGGTTTTTTGAGCAGTAGTTACTTAGTGTTATTTTGAGAAAAATGTGTTATTTTGTGTGCATGTCTTTTTAGAACAAATCATCAAATGAAACTGGTACTAATTTCAGTAATATACGCGATGAGTTTTTGAAAAATCATAAAACTACTTTAATTGCAGCTTAAATAAAAAATTTACAATTATTTATTTAAAATAATTTTTTTAAATCATTTATTTCATATTGTTTATTTAAAATTATTCATTTCTAATTATTTTTTTTAATTATTTATTTAAAACTATAATAACTTAAAACCTTAAATTAGTCTTAAAATAAATGAAAAATAAGATCAAAATACGCCAGAAGCAGTATCAATATTAAGTTTTGGAATACATTCTCGTTCGTTTGGTGGTTAAACACAAAACAACCGGCGTGTATGTACATTGAATAAGTCGTGGCTGAAAGTCCTCTTGTTGTTTCAGTGGAAGTTTGGAAAAAAAGAGTACCAGCTCAGGCACTGTTCACGTCGTCTGACCTGAGTCAAAATTACCTTGGCAATCCTACCATGGCAGTTAAAAGACAAAGTCTTAAAAATGAGGCTAGGTGCTTGGCCATAGTTGAGTGATGTGTATGTGTGTGGTATTTTGTGCATATATTAAATTAAACTACAGTATAGATATTTCTTTTAAACTTTTCTTTACTGTCGAATAGCCGTTCATACCATCAATTTCAACATGTGTACTTTTATTAAGTTTTTTTTAATTATTCCGAAAATTCCAAACCTCAAATTGTTTGTGGGAAAAAAGCAACAGAGTTACCGCAATCATTAGAACTTAAAAAAATTATTTTATAAAGCTTATTTCTTTAATCGTCATAAATAATTATTAAGAAAAATCAAATAAAAGATTAAAGAAAATTTATATTAAAGGAGTAAAAAAATAAAAGAGAGAAAAATATATTTTCCGATATCAAACGATTGATATTTAAATAAAAAGAGATTCAAGAAATATACATTAAGAGTGCGTTAAATACCATAGTTAAATTTTTTTAAAAACTATGAAAGACATAACATTCTATTCTTTATATTTAAGAATAAAAAATGATTCATTTAAATCAATTTCTAATACATATTTTAAATGTCATGTAAAATAAAAATCAGACGATAACGTGTACTTACTTGTTGTATGGATGAGTATAACGAGTAAGAGAAAACGATTTCTGGTCTGAGATTGAAGTGATCTGAAGAGTTTAAAAGGATGCGGGATCTTTGCTTCTGTTTATATTACGTACGACGTTTGATAAGGGTGGGGGAAAACACAAACTATGGATTAAGAGGCTCACGAATAGGATAGGTTGCCAGCATCTTGTTTTTACACAACGCGCTCGCCAAATTCGCCAAAATTTATATTTTGTTATTAAATCGAAGTCGACCTCTTTTTAGAATAATGGAAGCTAATTTAATAATAAACACAAAATTCAATTTCGTAAATTTATTAGTGTAATTTGTTATTATTTCTATTGCTTTGGAGATGAAATTAAATAATGGAGATATCAGTTGATTTTTACCAGAAACACAAGCCCCAAAACTTCTGAAATGTGTTTAAAAAAATTCAAAATAAAAATAATATTTTTAAAAACCACGTTTTTGTAGTGGAGAATAATAATTAAAAAAAAATTGAAAAGCGAAAAACGTGGGGCGCATGAAATACATAACAGTAATGTTATATTAGTGTGTGTATGTGTGCTCTTGAGAATATGTGTATGTATATCTGTAATTGTATCTGAATGTGGATGTGGAATATGTTTGTGTATATGCATATGTATGTGGATGTATATGTGGCTGTGCATGTGTATGAGTAAGAAAATGTGTATATGTATGTGTATATGTACTGTTATGTATTTCATGTTCCCCACGTTTTTCGTTTTTCAAATTTTTGTTTTTTAATTATTATTCTCCACGTGGTTTTTAAAAATATTATTTTTATTTTTTTTCTTCTCATTTCCAAAATCTCAATTTTTTCACTCACTGTACACAAAACTTTTAAACTGACATGTGACATTAATTTGAAATAATCGAATCGACAACAAAAGACAATCGTGAAAATAATAATTTTTCTTTCATTTTAGTTTTACATTATTTTGTATGTCTTTTTTCTCGTCATTTTCATGCATTGTCATCCAATTCTGAACTATGTGCCAAATTTGAAGTCTGTAGTTAGTCGGGAAGTTATTTTAAAATTCGATTACAAAATTCCACCCGAACAGACATACACGAAGGCAAATTGATATTCGATTAAGACCTTTTTAATATACTAAAACTCCCCTGCTCGCTCCAGCCTCCGTGATTACTTTTTATTCATCATTGTTTTCTTCTTGAAAGTAGATTTTAAAAATAATGAAAAACCTTTTATTAATAAAATGTGTATTTATTATAACTTTATGTAAGAACATTGTGTTTATATATAAATCGTAAAGTAATGAATGATTACAAGGATTTAAAAAATAATATATTGTATTTAGGAAAACTTGTATGTAGGATATTTAAATTTAAGAATATAGGTTGTGTGACTCAATGAGAAAAAATTAAATGAGAAATGATTCTATTCGTTAATGAGACATATATCATTATAACAATTTTGAAGTCTTCAACTACAATGAAAGGATAATTATTATTTAAAGCGAAAAGAAAGAAAGAGAGAGTGAGAAAAAGAAAGAGATAGAGAGAGAGAGAGTGAGAGAGAAAGAGAATTATCAAAAAGGCACTTACATTTGAAATAATTTTTAAACAAATTGGAATGAATTTCGAACATAAAAAAACTAATTTAAAAAAAACTAGTGTTGTGTTTATTAATAAAAACGGCCCTTTCAACAAGTCAAATTTGAACTCTGTTGTTGCATTTCTGTAGGCTGTAGAGCGTCATTTAAATTTTTTTTTTCTTTACTCGTTTGACATTCAATAATTCTCGAACTATTTTCAGATATTAATTATATTTATTCTATCTTACTCCCAGTATATTTTTATTATACATCTTAGTAATTTTAAGTTTCTTAATCTTAAAGTATTTGCTTTTCAAAACGATTCATTATTTCGTCTGCAAATAAGATAGGGCAAAGCACTATGTGAAAAATTCATTTTCATTAGTCTTTGAGGAACACTGACGTCTAGTCGAAGTCAAGCCCTGATTTACAGTTCTCGGGATACTGGGCAGCTGGGTGCAAAGCCACTTGGGGACCCTCTAAAAGTGTCAACAAGTCGAGAGTTGACATGAATGGTTCTTAATCGCAATATGATGGTTCTTAATAGAAATATAGTAGACAATAATTTTTTAGATAACAACAAATTGTTAATGACCTAAAACTTTCATTAGAAGTACTATATATCATTTAAAATTCAAAATTTAATTTAGGTAAACTATGAATAAAATATTATGAATAAATTGATAGAGTAACAATTGTGAGAGAATGCCAAAAATTATGTAGAAAACCCTGTGCCCACCCAGAAACAGATCGATGGGTACCATCTGGGAAGTAAAGGCTACTTGTGTCCAATGCTGACCACATTGTCACAATTATGCTGTTGGTATCAAAATTGTGTAGCCTTAACCCCCCTGTCTCATTCGGGCTGTTGCGATAATGCTTTATTTTACTAAGGCATCTATATAGCATTCTGAAAAATCACGCGTCAGAATTATTTATTTAACAAAAAGTACTATTTATCAAGTTTATTTGAAGTATAATAATTTTTTTCATAAAATTATTATTAAAAAAATAAACGAAAAACTTGGGAGCCCTTTCAAATTAAAGGCCAAACTAATAACAATAATAAAAAAAAAATATTTATTCTTATATTAAGGTGGGCTCCTGGGGTCCCTTGGCACTTGCCCCCTATTCCTCCTTTAATCAGTTCCTGGTCGACGAGCCACATGTGACTCACGTGTTCGACAAGTTTGCTCTGAAATATAAACTATAAATTTTCAAAGAGCCGTGGTGGCTCAGGGGATAGAGCGTTTGCCTTCCAATGAGATCAACCGGGTTCGAATCCTAGCGATGGCTGGTCGATACGAATTCCGCATCCGACTTGCACCGACCACAGTGCTGACGTGAAGTATCCTCAATGGTAGACGGATCATGGGTTAGAGTCCCCTTGCCGTCAGGCTAACCGTCTGAGGTTCTCGTGGTCTTCTTCCCCATGCAACACAAATGCTGGTTAGTTCCATCAAAAAGTCCCCCACGAAGGCAAATTTCTCCCAATACTTGATAAATGAGTTCCCTTGTCTTCTGGATTGGGTTCTAAATTAAAAGGCTATCGAATTGAACATTAGTAGTCGTAAACCCAAAAAGATTGGGTCGGGTGTTCAACGACGGTTGTAAAATAAAAAATAAGATTTTAAAAAATAATTTCTAATAAACTTAAAAATTTAATTTTAATACTTATAATACAAAATAATACTTTAGTACTAAAATACTTAACTTGTAGAGATAAATGATAAGCGTAGGATGAAGAAACGGAAGTTGACTTAAAACAAATCATAAGGAAAGTTTCCTTTTTAAAGAAAATATTTCATTCTGATAATTTAAAAAAAAAAATTCTTTTTCTAGAAAGAGAAGAAAAAAAAAGAAGAAAAATGATAAAAAATGACACTTTCAAGAAGGTATTGAGTGAGCAACTTAAGTAAACATTTGATATCTATTTCAATAGTTTCCTTTTAAATGTAATTGAAAGACATTTGTTTATTTATCTTTTTATTCCTGAATACCACATTACTGTTGTTAATGAAATCGAAATTCGGGAAATCACACTTTAAGAAGTCAACAAGACAGTAATATATAATTGGGATATCCCAAGTCACGGGATTTTTTACTAAATATTTTTATTCTGGATTAAAAATTAAAAATAATTATCTGTGCTATTATTATTTTTTAATATTGCCTTAATAGTGTATGAATAATATTCCGTCCTTATTGCTTAGAAAGTCCTATAAATAAGCTTGTCAGGAAATAAGGAAAACTTTCATTTTTTTCATCAAATTCTTTCTCCTTACCGTTAAGATATAGTGCCCGTAAAAATTTCAATGTAACCCATAACTGCTTTGGATTTAGGGGTTTCTGATGTCATAAAAAAAGCAGATTGTTAGACATTCAAAAAAGCTACGAAAAACATTTAGTAGAAAGTTGGAGATAGAGCCTTTGTTCGGAGTGTATTTTAAAAAAGTCGTATTTTTAAAAGTTTGATTTCGCCGGAATGATCGATTGATTTAAGGTGCACTAATTGGTGCATTAATAGATACATTTATTAATAACTTTATTAATCAAAATAATATAATGATACTAAATGCACTAATTAATAGCTAATAATTAATTACCATATTTGAGGTTGCCCCAGTAAACTGTTAAGATAGAGTCATTTTAATCAAGCTTTGTCAGTTGAGGCTTAAAAATTTTTTTTTTGAATCGAACAGAATAATAATAATAATAATAATGATAACTTTTGAGAAAAAAAAAATTCTTAAAACTGTAACATATTCCAATCATAAATACTGACTGGACTTGATTACAAAAAAAGAAAAATTTATTTAAAATGCCACATATAAAAAATATATATTTTTATCGACAATTCTATCGAGGATCTCCATCGAACTTGACTATCATCAAAACTATAAAACATCCCTGACTTACTGAGTAACTGCTCTTGCGCAGTTCGTTTTCGTTCCATTGATGCTAGGGCAGGGATGGGCAAACTTTTTGGATCGTGGGCCAAAAATCTAGAAAAAAGAGTTTGGTGGGCCGAGTAAAAACTTCTGAAATAAAATAAAGTCAATTCATCATTGAGTGCACGTCACTCTACATCAACTTTGCGTTTTTTAGTTGCCATTTTGGGATAAAAAATGTTTACAAATAACTCAAAAAGGCAGTAGCCATTTTATACATTTAATAATTTCACCATTATTTACAATGACATTGTATGTGTGCAACTTTTCCATACGCAGTAAATTATGTTAGAACTCGAGCCGGCAGAAAAATCGGTTCGTTGGAACTTAAAACGCGTAGTCAGCCTCATGTGAAGTACAATTCACCTATATTAGATTCCATATGTCTGCTCCTCGAGAAAGACAAATACTAGTTG